CCCCCCTGGCTTCTCATAGATTTAAGAACTCTTCAGAAAATAGTGTTAAACATTACACTTACTTTTCATTTTTAAATGGGGCCAAAGTTAGTTACTCCAAAAGAACTGGGGAACCCAGGTGTCAATTTGGTTGATATCACAGCCGACTACCAAGCCCATCACAAATATGAGAGCAGCAAGTCTGATCAGTAATGTGCAGTTATGAAGTATAACTATGAATTCGTGAAAGGCATTTTAAAAAGTTTCAATACTAAGGCAAATACCACTGACCTTAACTCTATATAATCCTTTAACCGATGGGCATTAATATTTAGAGACAAATTTATATATATTCCACTTCAAAATAAGATAAAACAAACCTCTCTATGAAATGTGCATTTGTTCACAGACCTTCATACACAATCATTATTAGTTGACTTTCTAAATTGACAATTTATACATGAGTCCCTAAAGTACCAAGTTTTCACTAGTGTCTCATTGGGTGAGTCACGAGGGGTGCTTCCAGGAATGCATGACTCCACACTGTCAGGCTCAGGGGTAGCACCTTCATGGTGTCTACACCTGGACAGCTGTAGGCCTTCGGGAAGGGGAGGCAGGGGATGGGGAGGTGCTTACCTTGCTCCGGGCAGGCTGCAGAGTCCACTGGGCCTGAAACCGTTGTTTCTTCTGCTGCTGTTGCTGCTGCTAGAGCTTATATACTCTACTCCTACCAAGCTTTCTGATGGAAACTCAAACTAGAAACTGACTGGTTCCAAGTTGCAACATTGAAAACAACTCTCAAAACCTTCTGGGGGAATTTCAAGAAGTTCCTTTTTTTCCCCGTCTCTCTCTGTGTGTATCAATAACGCCGAGGGAACCCAGACATCAAAATCCCAGGTAATGAACTAAGAGGAAGTGTCTTTTGGGTGGGGAAAAAGGAAGGAGATGCTGATTCCTTTGGGTTTACATCATGGCCAAGGTGCTCAGAGACAGTACGAGGCAGCCTCCCTTGGGTTCCACAGACTGGGAAAGAAGGAAGCCCAAGCGGAGGTCAGGTGGGAGGCTGAGCTCATGTTAGGATGGAGCAACTGTACGCTAGAGCTCCTAAAAGTAAAATCCATGCTTCTCCTGAAGTCAGAGGGGATGAATGAAGGGCAAAGGGTTTGGTATACCTGTGGCATCTTCCCCCACATTATTCCTTTAACATCTGGATTTCAGAAACATATCACCACTCATCGTGGCTCCATGCACCACACACAAACACACCCAGGCACATTCATGCAGACGCAGCCCTGGGGAGATGACAAAAATATGTGTACCACTAATAAGACTCGCATAGGTGCAGAGACACGTCCTGTGCTCATAGGTACTCGCTTCCAGAGACAGATGGGAGCAGAAAGTGAAATATCACAGGCGGGCACGCACACAGACTACTACACGCAAGGTACATCTCCTTGGGCACCCAGACTGTGAGGATATCCCTATTTTATTTGCACACAAATCTATGGCCCTAGGAGCTTTGCACAGATGCACAGGATTAGCAGAATGAAGATATCTCTCCCAGTGGAATTTAAAGTTGCTAAGAGGTGTGCAAAGGTGTACGCCGGCTGTTCAAAGACCCTCCCAAATCCTGTCTGCCCATGAACAGGAACACATAACCTGCGCATACACCGACAAGGACACGCCGACAGACGCGGGCCGTCCCCGGCAGAGGGCGCTGCAGCGAGGCGTCCCCGCGCCCTGGAGCCTACCCGCGCCCGCCGGCCCCTCGGTTCCGGCCCTCGGCCCGGGCCTCCGCGGCGGGGGAAGTTCCGGGGACGGGGGCCGGTTTCAGGAGGGCCCAGATTTCCGGGCTAACTTTCCTTGCCGTCTCAACTGGGGGGAAACGGGAAACTTCGGCAAGAGCAGCGGAGCTTCCCAGCCGCACACTTCCTCTCTCCCGCCGTTTGTCTCGGCCGGGGAGGGCGCTGGCCGCTAAGCTGGCGGTCCCACTGGTTATCCGACCTCGTGCTCCGGAGGCTTACCTCCAGCTCCCAGGGCCTCCTCCCATCCTGTGTCCTCTAGGCCTCCCAAAACTTTGCCTCGTTGGCTTCCAGTGAAACAAGATCTGTATGCAAGATAAATTATTAAGGAAATAAAGCAGGTTGCATTGTATGTTGGTTGTGCGACACCATTTGTGTGTGTATGTTTGTGTGTGTGTGTAAATGAGCCTGCACTTTTCACAGTTGTTATCTATGGGGAATACGTAACAACTGGGGAGGGGGTTATTTCTGTAAAATGTATTCATTTCCCCCAACCAGTCCCCAAAGGGTACTGAACAGATAACTTTATATGAAATTGACATGACGTAGTTTCCCTAATTTATTTACAGTGGCTGCACTGCTACAGATAAGCCCTAGTGTCCCTCATAAATAAATACATACATAAAATAAGACAAGGCCCCCAAAATACAGATATTATTCATGTGTTCATAAAAGCATCTTCAAAATTAATAAAATTGAGTGAATATAGCGTGCTAGTTGTGCAAAAGAAGCTTTGAAGTAAGCCCTCAGCCTCCCTCTTCCACTCGGATTGCAGTCCCAGGGCTGGTCCTATATGAAAATTGTGGGGCCACCCACCACTGTTCACCTACACCAAGGACAAGTAGTAGACACTTAAGAGCATGGACTGTGAAGCCACAGAGAGCTAAATTCCAGTACCTGCTCTGTAAGTTACTGAACTTCTCTGAGCCTCAGTTTCCCACATCTGTAAAATGGGGTTGCCTGATCTTAGGTTTGTTGTGAAAATTAAATGAGATATGATGGGATGCACTCAGCGCAGCATCCTGGCTAAGTACTTAATGAATGGCTGCTTAGACTCATTTATTTTTTCGCCCTGCCGTGTTCCAGAAAGGTTTTTGGTAGCCCACAAGGGGACATCAAAGATGACAAAGAGGTAGAAGAAGAGCGAATTAATGTGAGAAAACAGGAATAGGGCTCTGAATAGTCCTCACAATAAAAACACATGGCCAGAGCTGAGTCACTTATTTGTCTCTGAGCATCCAGGTAACCAAGATGAGAAAGAAGAATCCGCACCTGTCCCATCTCTGCCCCATGGGGCTGACTGTTTTGATGAGTCCAGTTTACCCATAGAGGAAGTAGTTCTCATAATTTATCTGCATATAACAAAAAAATTCAGGTTCTCAGGCCTCATGCTTACAGATTGGGACTCAGTCCATCTGGGTGGGGCCCAGGAATCTGCATTTGTCAATGGAGGTTCTAATGTGGTAATTCACAGGTGGTTCTAACGTAGGGACCTTGGCCCACACTTCAAGATAGGCTGTATACAGTGCTCCATTATGTGGAGATACATCCTATGCCTCACTCCTCTCTGGACTTCCCACAAGGCCAGCCAGCACTCTGGTAATGTCAGCCAAATGTGCTTTGACCTGATTTCACAGAAAAGGTTTATCAACTTGTCCCACCTCACAATCCAAACCCTGACCCCAGGCAAACTGAACCCATGCCCGTGAGCTCCCTACAGCTCACCCTATGGGAAGGAACAGCAGGCGCTCTGAGCTGCGGTTAATATGACTGATGAGTAAGCTGTGAGAGGCAAGCAATCCCCCTAGAAACTGAAAATAACTTGAAGAAATTTTTGGCCACAAAACCTTTTTTTTCCCCTAGAAAAATGCTCTGAGTTTCTAGTACACATTTTAAATAAAGGAGAAACCATGTGTACTTTTTAAAATGAAAATGTTTACAAGATTTACACAAGCAACACATGCATGCACGCTATTGTCAAAGCTTCAAACAATACAAATAATGCATAGAATAAAAAGTTGAAGCCCCGATTCCCCTGGTTCCCAGAGGTAACCACTGCCAACATTCCTCCAGAGCCTCTTGATGCTTCTCAATGTATTTATATCTATCTGTCTGGCTATATAAATGGGATCGCACTATACATATTGTTCTGTAAATTGCTCTTTTCTTGCAACAGTCTGCCTTGCAGTGTCTTGCTAGATGTCACTTGAATAGATTTCCCATCTGGATGAGTTAGGGTGCCTTGGGCTTAGTTTTCCAATGAGCTCCTCTCAGGCTGTCAAAATGACTCTGCTGTTCCAAGCATCGATCCACATAAGACAACATCCAGGATAAGAAGAGACCTTTTCCTATGCATCTTTCTTAGAAGTCAAGACTTTGTCCTAGAAGCTCCCATAGCCTTCTCCTTGAGTCTCTCTGGCCACCCATAAACCACTCCTTTCCAAGGAGAATGAGCTTACAAGGAAAATGTTAAACAAGTCAGGTTGTCCCTGAGCTAGGAATGGGGTCATGATCTCAGAGGAAAAGATACTCCAACTAGGTAGAAATGGGTAGGTAATTAACAGTCACATGTGTCTGTTAGGTGAGCCCAAGTGATTAGTGCTTTCAGTGAAGTGCAGAAATAGGGCAATGGTGTAGATAATGAAAAGTAGGACTGCTTTTGAAGGGACGCTTCCAGCTTCGTGGTATGGGCAGTAGCTTCCATCTGCCATCTCATAGATAAATGTTCTTACAGAACAAAGACTAGAAGTTTCTATAGCCAAAAATTTAAGTGTATATGTGAGTGGTATGATTGTGAATGATTTTTGTTTTCTTCTTTATGGTTTCTTAAACTTTCCAGAATGTCTACAGTGACCTTGTATTTCTTTTTTAATCAGAAAAAAAAAAAAACATCATTAAAAGAGGAGATGAGTGAAGCACACAAAAAAGGTCGTATATATGGTGGTCGGGAATTTGTGTTCTAGAATCAGACAGACCTAGGTCAGACCATGATTCATGTTTCAAACATAACTGAATGTGCTCATGGATTATAACCTTTTCCTGGGATGTAAGTCACTAAGTCACTGCTGAAATGTTGTACTTTTATGGGTGGTGGTGGAGAAGCATCTGTTTTAGGTGTGGTGTTTCCTGGAGGCAGAAGACTGTCCGAAGTGAGCTCATTCAATTTTTTGAGTGCCCTTCAAATCCATGTCTTTTCTTTCAGTACTTTGTAAAAGATTCCTAGAGTCAGCTTCATTCTTAAAGTGGCCAGGATGTCCTCACTAACCTCGCCTTCAGCGGTGACTCTGATCACATTTTTACAATGTCGTCTTTCCACCCTTGGCCTGTGATATGAAGGCAGAGGGTGTTAGATGCAGCCACTGCTGAATTTCATCATCCAAGTAGGCATCTTTGGTCTGCTTGACTGGACTGACTTCAGAGTATGACAAATGATCCACTTCGACCTTGATTTTGCCATTTGCATGTGAAAATCTTTTTCTTTTCCTCTCTAAATGCAACTCTATGTTAATCCCAGTGAAAGACATGGGTTTGTGGACAACAGGAAGGAAGTAGGTGTGTGCTAGATTGTAGGATTGCTGAGCTGTAGAAATGCTTATGTTAGAAAGCTGTGGGACCAGTTGGTCTGGTCTTGCTGTTAGGAGAGGCAAGTAGAGTAAAGCAAGGTGGGAACAACGTGGACAGGGCAGGTGTCTGGGGCGAAGCCTTGTCATCTACTGTCTGAGGGTCCCCTATGCTCATCAATTCTAACCAACAATTATTGAATATTAACTGGCCACTCCCGCATTTATAGGATGGACTGTTAAACCACCATACAACAAAGCACATTCCTGTGGCCACTTATCCTGGAGCATATGGATTCTCCAGGTGA